GCCTCTCCTCAGGTGGGCATGGACCTCTCTCCTCCATGCAGAGGGGTAGATGCCTTCCTCTGCTCTTATCTGATTTCTCTATTTAACAGCTTCTAAATCCCATTAGCTCCTGACCAGCTCCCCCATTTCCCTTCGTCCCCGGTGCTTTATCTGCAGCTCCAGAGCTCCATCCCTTCCCTGACCACTTCTGTCCTTCTCTGCAAGCACCCACCAGACCAGGCTTGGCCATTAAACTCGTTCAGAACCTCTCCTGACTTTCTCTGGAGTTCCCTTGTCTAAATTCCTTCTGCCTTTAAGTTCCCTCAACTTTGTGAAAATGGAATTTTAGTGAAGAATCAGTACCGCAGGCTGAGACACGTCGGAATCACTGCCACCGCTTCCTAGGCACCACCAACTTTTTTTTTTCTCCCTGTAGTTTAATTTCTCTTTACTCCTCACATTTAATTAGTCCTTTGATTGGAGGAATGGTCCCTGCGCTCTCCTGTGACATTTTATGTCTGCTTTGTGACATCTCCCCGACCGAGCTCTCCCCACTCCAACCCTTGCACCCCTGTCCTGGTTTGGGCCGGGACAGAGTGAACTCTCTCCCCAGCAGCTGGTGCGAGGCTGTGTTGGGGTTTGTGCTGAGGAGAAGCTGATCACACACTGATGGGCAGAGCTGCTGCCAGGACAGTCAAGGACTTTCCAGCTTCTCTGCTGTGCCCGTGTCTGCAGGGGCAGGAGGAGCTGGGAGGGAGCACAGCCCCAGTGACCAGCCCAGGAGGGTTTAGGACTGAGACCCAAACTGGCCAATGGTCTGTTCCATCCCATGCACGGCATGGCCAGGGGAGAGGTGAGGCTCTGTCCGGAAGTTTTCTCTCTTGCTCTGGGTTGTCTCCCTCTGGGTCACCATCTCTCAGGGTTGTCTCGATCTCTTGGACACTCGGGTCTTATCTCCACTCTGGGATTGTGGTTTCAGGACTCTCCCTGCTCTGGGATCGTTGGCTGGGAATGGGCTGAGCCTTGGTCATGGGGTGGTGAGCAGTGTCACTAGGTGTCACTCATTTGGATATTTGTATATATCAATATTATTATTATAATTTCCAACATTATTGCAGTTTAGTTATTAAATTGTTCTGATCTCACCCCACAAGTCCTTTTTTCCCTTCACCCCTTTAATTCTCCCCCATCCCCATGAGGGATGAGGGGGAGGGAGAGCGAGCAGTGGTGTGTAAAACCACAGCAGCCCCTTCTCACCGCAGCCGCCTCGGTGGCCGTGGGACGTTGTCCTCTGCGGCACAGTGCATGCCTCAAACATGCTTTCCTACATGAAACAAGGTTGTTTCAGGGGCTCCGTGTTCACGGCAAAGGCAAAGCTCTCGCTGCAGCCCGTGCCCTGAGCAATGAGCGTGAGGCTCGCCTGGGGTTTGCTCCTGCTCCACAAATTCATTTTTCTCCCCAAAATAACGCTTTGTCCCCCAGCTGGGTCGGGGTCCTGGGCCAGGGGGGTTCACATCACCAGCTGTGAAAGAATCCAGCCTATGTCACCAAATTCTGCCTGTCGCCAAGAGCCCCGTCCAGCGTGCCCGTGGCTTTTTCAGACACCTGCTGTTGTGTGCCAGGGATTAAGAACATTTTCCGTGCTTGAAAATTTAGTTTGTGTAGCAGAAAAAAATGTGTATTCAGCTGATTATTGATTTATTCATACAAACAGAAACAAAGTGACTCTCTTGCAGCAAACAATTTCTGCCTTTGGTTAAAAGGTTTGGCATTTATTTGTTTTTTAAACTCAAGTCCTATTTCTACCTAAAAAAATACTTTAAAAAAATCAGAATTCTGCAGCCTTGGACCTGTAGTATCATTTAATAAGAAACTTTAAAATTTTTAAAAACTACTCTTAAAATAATTTTCCATCAATTGCCTTTTTTTCCTGATGGACTCACGCGGTGCGTGCTGACGGGTCAGATGCTGGACTCCCACCAGCCTCCTGTGCCCTGCCCCACCAGTCCTGCCCTTCAGCCACCCACCTCGCTCTCTGCGTGCAGACAGCTGCCACCCTGCGGGATGCTCACGCCGAGGACGGAACGTCTCCTGCGTGGGAGGGCAGAGCTGCAGGGCTGGGCATAAATCACCCCAGCAGTGCCGCCGGGATGGAGATTCCCAGGAGCACGCGTCCTCTCTGGGCGTCTTCTCCAACAGCCTCAGTGATGGGGCTGGAGGGTAACAGATTTAATCCCAAGTCAATTCTTGCTCATCTATTTTTATTTTTTTTTTACGAATGCTGGGTGCCTGGAGGTGACCAAGGGAGACAGGAACAGGATGCACAAGTTGTGTCCAGCAGAATGAAAACCCTTCCTTGTGTTTCTGCCTGGAGCAGGCACAAGTGCAGCTGCATTTCTGGCTCTGCTGGGCAAGGAGCTGGAAGCCTCTCCTGGCCCTGCCCGTGCCATGGCATGAGCCATGCTTGCCCCCCTCCCCAAGACCCTTTCCCCAGGCTCCAGGGCTGAAAAGTGCAAATTCAGGCCAGCAGAGACTCTTTGCAAGAAATACAAATTCAGGACAGCAGAAACATTCTGATAACTAGTTTTTTCACGTTGTCAGGGAAGAGAGCAGCAGAAAGTCAGAAAAACACTCCAAAGACAGGAAAAAATACATTTGGTGTGGGGAATGACACAGCCAACCAGTGGTGAAATACAATGTGCTTCACTGGGTTTAATTCTTAAATTAATGTAGAAGTGAGGGCTAAGCAGAGAGGACGAGGGGGAAGGGGTTGAAGCTGCAAGAGGGGAGATGGAGATGAGATGTGAGGAAGAAATGTTTTCCTGTGCAGGGGGGTGAGGCAGTGGCCCAGGGTGCCCAGAGAAGCTGTGGATGCCCCATCCCTGGAGGGGTTCAAGGCCAGGCTGGATGAGGCTTTGGGCAACCTGGGCTAGTGGGAGGTGTCCCTGCCCATGGCAGCGGGTGGCACTGGGCGGGCTTTCAGGTCCCTTCCCACCCAAACCCTCCTGTGATTCTATAACACTTTGGGTGGGATTCATCTGAACGGGTGGCAGCTGTAGACATGTTGTCAGTCTATGGCTGGAGCCCATACTCTAGATCGCCTTCATGCCCACTGAGACAAGCAGCGATTTTACGGCAGTATTCACCCAAACCTGAAGCTGCTATCTGAAATGGGTCAGAGGCATGATGCTGCACCTGCCTCCTTCACTGCCATGACTCAAAGGGAGATGGTGGTGACCACGTGGACCTCTGTCCCGAATGTGTCTGAGAAGGATGAGCATCATCCTCCTCTGCTGTCGGAGGAAACGTGCCGCCTCTGTGCTTTTCTTCTGAATCCCTGTGTTAATGGAGACCACCCCCTAATGTCGTCCCGCTGCTTCTCCTCCACCCTCAGACCCCGGTGGGGTTGTGGCTCCTCTCTCTGGATGCAATTCCCCCCCCACCACGCAGAGGTCCGTGAGCATCTCTGGCACAGCCGCTCACCTCCTGAATTCTCTATTTCATCACTCCTGTATCTTAAACTTCCTAATGGGACCTGTCACATCACCCTGGCCAAACACCCTGGGCAAAATATTCTCACCAGCCTGCTGCTTTTGTCACAAAAATTCTGATTTTTTGTACTTTAAGTGTTACTGAGTCTGCAAAAGCTCCAGACAGACCCCAGGAGGAACATCCCTGCGGAGAGGCTGCAGAGCATCCCTCTGCCATTGGAGCACCCTCCGTTTCTGAGGAGCAGGAGCCCTGAACCTCTGAACCTCTTAGTACCAAAGAAAGGCAAGAATGGGGATGTGGGTTATTGATGCTGGTCCTTTGGATAGTTTCTGCTGACATGTTGTGTTCCATGAAATTGCACCTCTCCCAGGGACCCTCCAGTTCAAAATAACGCCTACAGAGCATCTCCTTGGATGGACTTTCCATCTGCTGATGCCAAGCTGCAGAGCCTCAGAAGGGGTCCTTGTTCCTGCACTTTCCAGATAAAACCCATCATTGCTGGGGGACCCAGCCTGGCTGGGACATTCCCAGCTGGATCCCAGCTTCCAGAGCAGGAGGGCTGTTGCACCCAGGGAAGTCCCAGCATGGTTAAGTGCTGCGACCCCCGGACAGAGCTTGTGAATCCCAGCTGGACAGAGCTGGCTGGCTCGGAGAGGGCTCGGAGCAGGCTGGGATGCAGCTGGTCCACCAGCAGTAAGAGCTGGCTGGGCTCAGGACACTCAGACCCGTGACGTGGTGTCCTTCAGGCCTCCAAGACATGCTAGATTTAGCTGTTTGGGTACTTGTGGTCATCACAACAAGCAGACACAGGGTCGGTGAGTACCCCAGGAGACTCAGTGTTTATTTCCACCATCATCAGTTGTGGACACCCAGATACACCACTGTGCATCTCCCTGCTTTGGTTTCCTCACCCAGCTGGTGTGAAGGGCTGGATGGACAGCATGCTTTGAAGAGCTCAGTTTTGGAGATGCTCAGTTCCCATCATCACCCAGAAACCCAGAAAATCTGGTCTGTGCCCAGTGAGGGTCAGCCTTTTGTGCAAGAGGGGCCCAGAGAGGAGACCCTCTGTGGCTGCAGCCCCTGTGACAGTCTCCTATCACCAGCCCTGAGAGTCCAGCAGGGACTAAAGAAGACAACACTGAAGAATTTCCCCATTTGGAATAGAATCTGCGTATTGACACAAATGTACTTGGAGCCCTGAAATGTTGCTTGAAGTTATCACAGGGATGTTTGTGGCATTTGGAACATCTCCAGACTCAAAGGTGGTTGCTTAATTCTCTGTATCACTTGGAAGAAAGGAAGGAAGGGAGGGAGGGAGGGAGGGAGGGAGGGAGGAAGGGAGGAAGGGAAATAGGACATGATATTGCTCATGCTCCCAGTCTCAAATAACTTGTCACAACGTGGGGTCTCATGTGGTCATTAAAGCCAACAAGTCCTCCTTCCTCCTTTCTTATGTCCACCGCGTGGATTCAACAGAAATGAAGCTGGTGCTGTCTTTGCATGGATGAATACACCTGGGAAACCACTGGCTACTGCATCAGGCTTGAACCTTCCTGGAAGAGCATTTTGCGCACAGCCTGATGGATCTGCTTGGTCCTCATGCTATAAACGATGGGGTTCAGCATGGCGGGCAGGATCAGGTAGAGATCCGCCAGCAGAACCTGTGCGCGCACGGATACGCCGCTGCCAAAATGCTGTGCGTATATGGAGACGATCCCCGGGATGTAATACAGCAGCAGCACGCAGATGTGACACCCGCAGGTGCTGAAGGCTTTCTGGCAGGATTTCTTCCCCAGGACAGTTTTCAGGATCATCCCATAGGACACGGCAATGAAAGCCACATCCATCCCTACGATAAGAGAGGAGCCAGCCATGCTGTAAAGCCCACTGGGTCTGGGGTCCGTGCATGCCAGCTTGGCCACGGCCATGTGCTCGCAGTAGGAATGGGGAACCACGCGGGAACGGCAGTACGGGAGCTTTGTCACCATCCCGGTCAACGGGACCATGAAGAGGACACCTCTCACCATGATGGCCAAGCCTATTTGGGCAATGGTTTGGCGATTCAAGATGGCTTGGTACCGGAGAGGGTGACAGATGGCAATGTAGCGGTCGACAGCCATGGCCAGGAGCACTCCCGACTCCTCCGATGTCGTGGAGTGAACAAGGAACATCTGAACAAAGCAGGCCGTGTAACCGATCTCTGCAGAGCTCAGACAGAATATGCTCAGCATCTTGGGGATGATGGACGTCACCATCACCACGTCAATGACCGCCAGCATCCCCAGGAAGCAATGGACGGGGTCCCGCAGGGAGTTGTCCAGCCCAATGACAAGCAGAACTACACTGTTCCCTACCAAGGCGATGATGTAGCTCGAGGAGAAGAGGATGCCCAGGCAGGTGGGGAAGGCTTCCAGGCTGGGGACACCCACCAGGATGAAAGAGGAGGAGCTGCTGTTGGGGCGGTTGAAGGGATCAGAAGCCATGCAGGAGAATTTGGCTTTTGTGTTTAAAAAAAAGGAGCCTGGTTTTGAGCCCTGGGATGTCCAGAACTAAGGGGGATAAGGTGGGGACTCTGCAAATCAGGAATCCACATCGTTATTGCGACATGTGAGATGGGAGTGCCACAGCATAACACGATGGGCTGGGGGAACGGATCAGAAAAGGTGAATAAATGGGGCTGGTATGGCGTGAAAGTTCCTGTAAGGTGAAGAAGTTCGTGTGTCAAGTTGTGCCACAGGGGATAACCAAGGGACTTTTACAGTCCATCGCTTGCAAAGGGATTATTTCTTTGTTGGTTGCTCACCGCCGCTCAGCTGAGATCTTGAAAGAAGCTGCAAGAGGGGAAAAAAAGTCAGTGCCCAACTTCCCTCACGCAGAACTTTGGCCTGAGCAGCCCTGGCTTCCCTGCAATGGGCCAAACATAAATTTTTCGGGCAAAAAGTTGTCTCAAAGGATGCTCCGGGACTTTAAGCATGATCCTGAAATTGCCTTTTGCTGCTCTGTCTTCATTCTGTCGTGCACCCGTGAGAGAAGCCTGCAAAACTAGGTGGTAGTCAGAGGAAAAAAAAAACATTTCTGAGGTTTTGTTCTGAGAGGAGAAGCTTGAGGGTAATACAGAAACTCCAGAGAACAATCCCAGAGACACAAGAAGGGTCTGAGTACAGTGGGCAGGACCTACACATGCACTTGAGCCAAAACTTTGCCTCTGCTCCTGCTGCCTCCCCCCAACACAGGGGCACAGACCAGGTGGGTGATGCCCGCACCAGATCCCTGCCTTTAAAATAAATTGTCTGGATGATCATCCTCCAGAAGCTTTTTAGGCAGCAGTGAGCTGTGGGGTGGCTGATGGCTGACAACACGGAGTAAAATTCACCCGTGTGTGGCCCCGCTGGAGCATCGCTTGGGGTAAAATTTAACATTAGCCCTGGCCAGCGCAGCAGCGGTGAGAAGCAGAAGCTCAATAAGTTCAGAACAGAAATAAAGAAGATATTGGTAGACAACTAAGGAAACACTGCATTTGGAGTTTAAAACAGAGAGCAGACTTCCGTAGGCTTTGAACCCTCTGTTTGAACTACAGCTCAGCCCCAGGTTTGGGGATGCTGCAGGAGCTGCAGGCTGAAAAGACTGTCCAGGACAGAAGTGCTTACCTTCTGCCCTAAATATCTGCAAGTCAGGACATTTGGGAGGCTGAAACAGGATCAAAATTCCTTTTTAATTACTGCACCTAATTGTACTGCACTGACCCTCTGCATCCCGGTGAGCAGCAGCTGCAGGGGACGGGTGTGACTCCAGATTTGGGCAGCGAGGTTAACCCAGGGCTGCTTTCACTGACCCACGCTCCCGAGCAGACCCACGTACTGCCACCGACACCGACCAGCCTTTCAGCCCAGCTCCTGCTGCAAAACAGGGCTTTGCACCCTGGGATGGCACAAGCCCCCATCTGACCCACCAGATTTCAGGGTCTACAGGGGGGTCCCTCTGCAAAGACTCAGGGCATGGTTCAGCTGCCTGAACACGGGTTCCTGGAGCCATCTGGGACCCCCCCCGCGTGTCCCACTTGGGCTCTGCTTCCTTTGCACCCAGCAGGGTGGAGGTCCTTGCAAACCCTGGTTGATGGGCTGCTCCACAGGGATGCTTTGGGAACCTGGGGGCATCTCAAGCGTCCAAGAAAGAGGACACTGGGAATGACACCCCAGGGGTCTGAGAAGCTGTTGCAGTCAGAGAGGAGCTCGAGCATGGAGCCTGCAGAGTAACTGACCCCCCTAAATGCTCTCCTGGATCCGCTGACCCCAAAGGCTGGATCTCCTCTGGCTGTACTCAGGGCTTGGACACCCGCAGTCACGCACACAAGCACGTGTGGACACCTACCTCCAGGTACTCACATGTGTCTGAATCCAGAGTCTCCAGGTGCCCACATCCAAGGCAAGAGTGTATTTTCTTCCAGAAGTCTCTTCTGCAGCCAGTGCCTGGCACAATATTATTTATTACCAGTATTGCAGCGGTACTGAATAACCCCGATCACCGGGACTTCTGGGCTTGGGAGATGGAAAAACTGCACAGACGAGCTTTGCAGCCTGAGCAAAGGCTTCTCATCCTGCTCTGACGAGGAGGACAAGCAGAGGTATCTGTGTCCCCTGTAGGACCGTCACCTGGAGGGCTGCAGCCGTACATGTTGGTGTGTCGCTGAGTGCAGCAGCGCTGGGGTATATTAATCCATCCTCTGGAATCCCCCAAGGGACAGCAGTGGGAGGATGCAGAGATGGGATTGTCTGTCCTGCGAGGAGATGGAAATTTTCGAGACTGCCTCAGCTTCTTTCATTAGCTCTCCCTCATTGTGCCATACCACTGGGGGCTCAGGGGCATGGTGGTCTCCAGAGTCTGGTGGGTCCCAATGAGACCAATGCACAAAACATAAACTAAGTCCATCTGAAGTGGAGAAAAATCCCTTTGGCTTTGCCAGAGAGAGCAAGATGGTTCGGAAACTCTGGGTTTCCATTCTTCTCTCCTCTCAGAACCATTACACCAAACTTTCATGTCTCCCCAGAAGGAGTTTGTGCAGGAGTCCAGGCAGGGAGGTGGGATCTCGGAGCAGGTCCTGAGCTGTGGCTGCATCATGCAGTGCGTGGATGAGGAACGATGCCCCTGGTCATGGATGAGGAAACCCCACGTGATGGCAAGCCTCCAGCAGATGGAAAGTGTGTCTTTAAAGATCATTAGCAGAATGTCAGCCCATTAGGGAATAAACCCCAATTTTTCACCTTATTTATAAAAAAAAACAAAAAACCCAAACAAAAAGTTTCTGGGGGAAGTGGAATGTCATTCCTAGAGATTTTGTCCCAAAGGGCAGGTTTTCCTAAAGCGTGGATTTTGTTCTGCAGATTCATTCCCTGCCCTAAGACCACTTTCTTCACAGCCCCTGTGTCCTGTCTCCAGAGGAATGTGTGTGGATGCTCAGGGTGTGAGATGAGGGATGCTTCAGTCTGACAGAGCTTCTACCTCAAAGCAGCCCATGAGAGCTACAGCTGAGAGCCTGTCCAGGACAGGGCATCTCTGCCATCCATCACGCAGCTCCCTGTGGACTCAGTGTTGTCTCTACTGCCATGGTGTTATGCACATTTTTTTCTTGTCCTCCCCCCTCCCAGGGACCCAGGTCTGCTTGTTGTGGTTTAACCCATGTGGCCAGCAGCAGTAAATGCCACACAGCCGCTCGCTCACCCTCCTTCCTCCCAGGGATGGGGGAGGGAATTAAAGGGGTGAAGGGAAAAGAGACTCGTGGGGTGAGATGAGAGCAATTTAATAACTAAACCACTATAATATTGTAAATAATGATAATGATAATAATAATATCCAAATGAGTGACACACAGTGACACTGCTCACCATCCAATGACCAAGGCTCATCTTGTTCCCAGCAAACAATCCCAGAGCAGGGAGAGTCCTGAAACTGCAATCCTGGATACAGCGTTAGACTGCGGGGAGGGAGCAGGCTTTAAAGAAAAACTGATATTTAGGCTTTTTTTTTTTGGAGTTCACCTCTCTGGTTGATATGTCTCAATGGCAGGATGTCTCAGCACACCCAAAGCAAGACATTCTTCCCTGGGGAGGTCCCCCATGCCTCTCACACACTTTGGAGCCTGTCATGTCCTACATGTCAGTGTGTTTGTTGCTTTTGCACCCAGGAGATTCCTGGCTGCTCATCTGAGTGCAAGCACGGACCCTGCCCCAGGTGGTTTGCGCAGTCAGCCGACCCCAGGGTCTCTGCAGTAGCACAGCTCTGACCCTCTGGTCTCTCCAGCATCCAGCCCAGACCTCCAGCCTCGCTGATACCTGCTCCCAAATCTTAGCTTACCCACTGTCTGATCCTTCTTGATGTTTGCTGGTGGTTGCATGCTGATGTACGTCCCCACCCCATGTGTGTGCACCCCTCTGCAGGTGCTGGTCCCCTGGGCTCATGGGCCCCTGTGGTCCATGGTCTCCACTCCAGCAGCTGGAGCTCAGCCCTCGATGCTCACACGTGCACACAGATTAGGTGACCCTCGCCCAGGGGTGTTTTTGGAAATGGAGCTCAGGCCAGACTGTGTGGATCAGGCATCAGGCATGGACATCCAAGCATGTTGACCAACAGCCCGTTTCCATGTGGCTGGACCCCTTCATCCCCTCATCCTTCTGTTTTCCCACCCTGATCCCTTCCATTCCCATCCTTTGGTTCCCACCCTAAACATCCCACAGGGAGTGCTGCACAGTCCCAAAATGCTTTTCCTGGCATCCCATACTGATTATCCCACCACCCGGTGGGCAGTACCCCATGTTGGTTTGCCAGGAGGGAGAAGACCCCCTGCCATTGACCACCTTGGAGGTCTTACACCTGGCCATGGGCTGAACATCCTCCTGGGACAGCCTGGGGAGCAGCTGAGCTGGGGGCTCTGCTGGTTCTGAGGGGGATATTGGGGTTCCCCTGCCTGTCACATTCCTCTGCTCCTTTGGGTTTATGGAGGTGAACCTTTAATCACGCAACCAACAGCCTCGGCACCCTGCAGACGGGTTCCTGCTGCAGGTCCCTGCAGGACGATGGCATCTGTGGCTGTTGTGGTTTAACCCCAGTAGACAGCTGAGCCCCACACAGCCACTCACTCACACCCCACCCTGACCCACCCCCCCCACCCAAAGCGGGATGGGGGAGAGAACCAGGAGAATAAAAATGTGAAAACTTGTGAGTTTGATAAAGACAGTTTAATAATAAAAAAGGAGAAAATACCCCAACAACAACAAAGGAAAAAAACCCCTGAAAAACAAGTGATTCAAAAAAATCTAATTGCTCACCACCAGACAACTGATGTCCAGCCAGTCCCCAAGCAATGGCAGCCCTGGAAAATCTCCACTAGCTTTTATTTCTAACCATGAATCCATATAGTCTGGGATATCCCTTTAGTCACTTGGGGTCGGCTGTCCCAGCTGTCTCACCTCCCAGCTCCTTGTGCACCCCAAGGGTACTGGCTGGCGGGGCAGGGTGAGGAGCAGAAAAGCTCTTGATGCTGTGCAAGCCCTGCTCAGCAATTGCTAAAACATCGATGTGTTATCATCAACACTGCTTTCATCCCAAATCCAAAACATAGCCCCCTACAGGCTACTATGTAGAAAATTAACCTTATCCCAGTTAAAACCAGTTCATGGTGCATGGAGAGGGCTGTCAGAGCCATGCAGAGCCCTCTGTCCCCTCCACTGTCTCTGCTGGCCTCCACGGCTCTTCTCCTGCACAGGACCGACTGCCGCTTCTACTGGGACAACTTCACCTGTAAGAGCATGAAGAAGTCTTCAAGGAGATGGCAACTGGATGCTATTGAAGTGATGCTCTGTCTGACCTCGTAGGTGACCCTGCTTTGAGCAGGAGCTTGGACTGGAGACCTCCTGAGGTCCCTTGCATCCTGAGTTATCCCATGGTCCTGTGATCCCATGTCCCTTCCCTCTTTTCACACGGCTCCGCAGCCCATAAGGTGGTGTGGAAGGTTTCCACCTTCTAGTGGGAGGTGTCCGTGCCCATGGCAGGGGGGTTGGAAGTAGATGATCTTTAAGGTCCCTTCCAACCCAAGCCTTTCTATGATCCTGTGAGTCAAGGAAAAAGCTATTTTCTGGGGTTCAGCTATACTGGGCCATTTTGCCTGAACAAGGTCAGGTGGTGGCTGCAATCCTTTTTGTGGTGGGAGATCTGAGGGAACTGGACCACCCCAAGGTGCTGTGCCAATGTCACTGCCACGTGCTGGGGCAGGCAGGAGATCAACCAGCTGCAGCACTTGGTGCTGGCCTGAGTTTGGTGGATGCCAACATTTCCTGGAGCTCTGCACATACACTGAGAGCCACACCGAGGTCCAGCAGAGGTTTTGGCCATTCTCGGGAACAGACTTGGTCTTCACGAGTCCCAGCCCTGTGCCCTGAAGGCCAGCCCCAACCCCTCCTGCTGTGGATCTCCTCCGGGAGATCACTTTGCGTGCTCCGTCACGAATCTGCTTCATCCTGATGCCGTAGATGAGGGGGTTGAACGCCGGTGGGATGAGGAGGTAGATATCAGCCAACAGGACCTGGACGTTGGGTGGGAGGTCCTGGTGGTACCTTTCCATGTACATGGAGAGCAGCCCGGGGATGTAGAAGAGGGCCATGACGCAGAGGTGGAAGCCGCAGGTGCTGAAGGCTTTTCTGCGGGCTTGCGTGGAGGAGAGGCCGAGCACGGCTCAGAGGATGAGCGCGTACGAGAGAGCAGCAAGTCGAGGCTGCCCACGTAGGTGGAGACAGAGAGGCTGTAGGTGTTGCTGAAGGTGGCGTCGCCACAAGCCAGTTTGAGCACGGCCATGTGCTCGCAGTATGAGTGGTCCACGACCGCTGGGGTGCAGAGAGGCAGGCGGCGGATCTGGAAGGTGAGGGGGCTCATGAACACCACGGCCCTGAGCAAAGTGGCCAAGCCGATGGCAGCCACCGCAGGGCTGGTGAGGATGGACAAGTACCGCAGTGGGTTGCAAATGGCCATGTAGCGGTCGAAGGCCATCGCCACCAGCACCCCTGACTCCATGACGGAGAAAGCATGAACGAAGTACATCTGGGTAAGACAAGCATCCAGGCTGATGGCAGTGGAGTGAAACCAGAAGATGTCCAGCATTTTGGGGGTGATGGAGGTGGACATCACCAGGTCAATGACAGCCAGCATGGAGAGGAAGAGGAACACGGGCAGGTGGAGGCTGGGATCAGCCTTTATCACGCACAGGAGGGTGCTGTTCCCAGCCAGCGTGAGGAGGTACATGATGCAGAAGGGGATGGAGATCCAGCGGTGCAGGTGCTGCAGCCCCGGGATGCCCGTCAGGTGCAGCTCTAACAGCGAGGTGTTGGTGGGACGCGAGCGGGACATGGTGGTCACTGGAGAAGCCTGAGCGAGGACAGACCAGGCACACAGGGACAGCCATTCCCTGGGTCACACCAAAGGTCCATCCAGCCTCAGATCCTGTGTCCAGCATCCAAAGCACGCCCCTAGGGAGGAATAAAGGAAATAAACCGTGACACTTCCACATGCCTTCCCAGCTTCCAACAAAGCTCAGGGACTACCTGGACTGGATGTGGTTTTTCCATTTTAATTAACCCCATCCCAGAAAGCCATCTGGCATCTTCTGTGCAAAATTTTAGCCCTTAAACTGTCTTTTTAGCAAGGAGTTTCACAAACTAAAGGCACCTTTGGTGAAATAACCCCTTCCCTTTCTCGTGAGCCTGACTTTTTCAACATTTTCTAATGTAATCTGAGGACCCATAGTTCCTACATCAAAACAGGCAGAGAAGAGTCAGTTGGATCCTTGTTCTCCCTCCACATGCCACCATGAGACATGGAAGCCAGTAAACCTCAGATAATGGAGCTGACCAGCAGGAGAATTTTTAATCCCTCGATCAGCACCGAGTATTTGATTTCCCACCTTCATCTCCCATTTGTCTTGCTCTGTATCTAGAAAGACGGAGCTGAAAATGACTTTCTGAGCTGAGTGCCTCTTGCTTTCGGTGTGACAGCTTCTCTTACCCGGAGGAACTGATAGTCAGCATCCTAAAGGGTATTTTGATTTCATGTATCTGCTGAAAGACAGCTCCAACTCTCCACCCTGCTCCAACAGCTGGGAAATTACCTCTACTCAGTATGTTCCCATCCAGTTTCTATCACCTCTGAAATTAAATATGATTTCCCTCTGATTTCCCTCCCTGGCGTTTGCACCCCAGCATGTCTACAAAGCCACACCAGCCAGCCTGGCATTGCTAAGACAGAGCCTCTGCTCTGTCCCTTTTCACAAGCCCAGAGCTCTGCTCCTGGTCACACAAGCGGTTTTCCTCTTTACACCTTCCCTTAAAGCATCTTTTGTGGCCATGCCTGGTTGGAGTCACACAGGTGAGGTCTCACAATGGGGTCTTGGGTGATGCACAAGGCTTTGCCCAGGACCAGGCTTTGAAGATCTCCACTTTACAGGTGGTTTTGATACTCCTGTGCTTTTGAGGTCCAGCTGCACACATCACCTTCACCTGGAGAAGGAGAGGCATTAGGGTTTCCATTTCCCAGGGATGCAGCCCATCTCGCAGCCAGATGAATCGCTGCTTTCCAGCAGGACCTTGCAGGCAGAGCAACACGTTCAGAAAGCATCACAGTATCAAGGGCAGATCTTCCCGGGCGGATCTGAACACGTTCCTTCTCACCATTTATGAAACATGTCAGGAGATTAAAGTAAAAGTTTCTGCGCAAATGATGCTCTCGGGATTGCTGGTTGAGTGGAACACCCTCAGGTGGGATGAACCTGAAGGGGCAAAGGACAGAGCTGGAGGGCTGCAGGCTGAAGTGCATTGTGCTGGGTGATATATGGAAAAAAAAAAAAAAAGGCAAACTAGAGGAAGTTCAGAAATAAGGATGAAGTTGGAGAACTGAGGGGACTGGCTCAGCTGGGGACTGGTCTTGAGAAGAGCCTTGAAATGTGTTAAAAGGCTACAGGGAAGCAGAAAGGAATAATTGTCCTAATGGGCAAGGCAGGGGTCTGAATCCCAGCAAGAGGAGGAGAAATTCAGTCAAGGCTTGGAGAAAATTTATTCGCTGGTGAAGATAGCAATGCACTGGTGAAAACAGAGCTGCGGTGCCCAAGGACAAGTCTGTAAGGTTTCTGAAGGTGGTCCATGAAGCAACTGCAGAAACACCTTCAAAAACCAAACACACATGTTCCCTCCCCACTCCCCCCTGCCCACGCGTTCCCAATTCCTGAGAGCAAGGAAACAGAAAGGAGGAGAATAAAAGCTATATGCCTGCGGATAAAGCCTGCCCTTAAACTGATTCAGTTGTAAAGCAAACTCCCTGGGATGACCATGTGCGAGCTGGTCTGAGAATTTTCCATTGCAAGAAGCCAAGGTTGCCTAAGATTTTTTCAAAATTTGTGGTGCTTTTATTTTGCAGAGAATGTGATCAAGAAGCATGGGACTGGAGAGGTTCATGGGGCCTTTTCCAGACTTTTTTCTCTTTTCCTTTGTATTTTTCTTTTCCTTTTTCTTTCTTTTTCCTTTTCCTTTTTTTTTTCTTTTTCATCTTCCTCTTTTTCAATAAATATATTTTTTTAAATCTATAAAGAAAAGACTGCAGCAGCAAGTTCTCTGGTGCTGCTTCTATTTAAAACCTGCGCACCGATGGATGACTTACCTGGCTTGCTGCTGCAGATCTGTCCAGGTAACTCAGCAGATGTGCCCAGCCCACCCAGCCCTGCGGGAGGGATGCTGCCCAGCCCGGCTTCCCCCAGCTATGCCGCCTGTTCCTCTGACCCAGCAGCTTTCAGCGGTGGAAGCTTTTATAATTTAATGTGAGGAATCCCTGGTGTGTCTGTCTCACGGCTCAAGAAATGAGCCTGCACACACACACGTGTGCAGCCAATTTGCTCATTTACTAACCTCCTAATTCAGTTTGATTAATTGCGAAGATATCGCTGCCAATCCCCTACAGTGCTTACAGCCCTCGCGGCAGCTTGAACCCTTCCTCATCCCTTGACCCTGCAGCCTTCCAAACACAGGTCCCTGAGCCTGGCATTGCCGTGCTGAATCTTTCCAGATGCAAACGAGGTCTGGGTCTCCTTCCATGGCCAGCGTGGCCGTCAGATGGAGCTCCTGGCTGTCTCCATCCTGAGAGGCTGCATGTCAGGGAGGGATGTCCCGTCCCACACTTGTGCTTTGCATCCTCCAAGGCAGCAGCAGAAAATGTGCAGGTAGATAGAAAACACATGGCAGACCAATTCTGGGCGTTTTGACCTGAGACTAATTTTTGTCTAAGCCTCCTTCTGCAAAGCCAGGGTTTGCCGCTGAAAACCCCCTGACAAAGAGGGCTGGCACTGCGTGGTGGACGGGCTGCTGAAAGGGGATGGGAGAGCTGCACCGAGCCCGGCTGGGGGGCCCCAGGGAGGGGGGTGAGGCAGTGGCCCAGGGTGCCCAGAGAAGCTGTGGATGCCCCATCCCTGGAGGGGTTCAAGGCCAGGCTGGATGAGGCTTTGGGCAACCTGGGCTAGTGGGAGGGGTCCCTGCCCATGGCAGGGGGTGGCACTGGGTGGGCTTTAAGGTCCTGTTGTATTTTGACCCTGGCTGGCAGCAAAACACTACAGCACTGCTCGCTCAGCCTCTTCCTTCCTGGGGAATGGGGGAGAGAGTGAGATAAGAACAATAACTAAACTACAGTAATATTGGAAAT